GTCCCCGTCCTGGGACATTCATCGAATGCTTACATGGAAAGTTGCAGATCAATACTTTTCAAACACGAGTGCATTCATGCGGATTTTATATTGCTGCTATAAAATACTATCTAAAAAAGAGGGAGAAAATAGAAGTCATTAGGAACTTACTGTCTGATAACACAAATTACACTTATAGACAGAGGATAATATAGTTACTGACATGAGTGAGGTTTCAAATGGCATTCACTGAGATTATCTTTCAAGGTTTTAATTTTATAGTAGCTTTAGATTTGCAGAAATGGTAGCGAAGATGACAAGGGGGCGCCTGTAGATCTAACACTCGTGTCTGCCGTTGTTAATACCGAACCACATCCATAGGTGATCATTAAAGCCCTTGCTTTATCCAGAATGCCGACGCGCTCCCTGACCGTCTTGTGCGCCGGGAGCCACACTGCATGCAGTCCTGCGTCCTCTTTGTCCTCACTGGTCTGGGGCAGTTTCTCAGACTGGCTCTGAAGGACTGCGGCAGCGTGGGGGGGGGGGAGGGCTGGTGGTGCTTTGCTCCCCGATCCTGGGGCCAGTTTCTGAGAGGCGGGGGCACGAGGCGCTGTGCACGAACCCATCAAGGGCAGTGCTATCTTCCTGCTCACCACACGCTGGTTCGGTCAGGGCGGTTCTGGGCTGCACAGCCAGCCGCAGGACTGCCCGCTCCTCCCGCACTGTATCCCCTGGAAAGCAAGGGCACCCCCCTCAGGGAGTGGGGCTGTGATTTGGAGATCTGCCTGCTCTTTCCTGTTTACTTGTGCAATCATTTGTTTCTGTGAATACTTTGTGTTCAGTACTACTTTATGTGTGTTGCTGCTCAGATTGTTCTAGCTTTGGTTGTTGGGAGCTCTTTCAGTTGGCTTTTATTACCTCCGCACACGAGCGTGTGTGTGTTTGTGTGTGTGTGTGTGAGAGAGAGAGAGAGAGAGAGAGATTTGAGCATTTCTTCCCCTCCAGTACCACGAGATACTCCAGGCTCTTTTTGCGTATTTCTCGCCCAACTGGAAGCAGCCATTTCTCCCTGGAGGTGGGTGAGGCTCCTTGTACTGAAGCTTGGTATTAGAGTCAGAGGTCTGGGACTGTTGGATGGCTCACAGCTGAAACTTTGCTGCTTCCAGGCCCGCTCTACTTGGAAAGATGTGCGTAAATTCACCCCTAGCACATGTTCACATCTGTAACTATTTCTGTCTTTATTCATTTGCATCTTTATTAAACTAAAGATGAGCTCATACTGATGTCCCTTGTTCTGTATTTGAAAAAAAAATTGTCAACAGATGGTATCTCCTAGCAAATTCTATTTCAGTTTGCTAGGATTATATGTCCAAATCTATTCAAAACTCCGTGTCTCGAGTCCATTCCTTGGGCCTCTCCTGAAGATTAGGTTGCATGGCAATAGTTCTGGGAGGCATAGGCCTGCCGAGGACCCAAAAGCAGTGAACACTGGAGAAAGAGGACCTCAGGCCAGAGGTGTAGCCGTCTCACTCTTTGACCAGCTGGCAAAGGACACGCGCACTGTGAGGTGTGAACTCACTGGTCCCGTTTTTCTGGTGTGAGCTTTTTCTGGTGTGAGCATTTCTGGCAGTCACTGAGGAAGACACAGGACTCACCAAGACGAGAGAGTGGTTTCAGCAGCAGTTCATCTTGCTTGATTAGGTGGAGGTGAGGGGGCCCTGCCCGGCACCAGGAAGTGGTGCTAGGAAAGCACCTGTAATCTAAGAGTGTGACAGCCCGGCTTTTCCTTTCTATCTAGGCCTTCCTCCTATTGCAAAAACAATGCCTCTTTCTTGCCTTCGGGACTTTGCAGGCCCGACTGCAAGGAAGCCCATGTGAAGGACTTGGTGTCAGCAATAGGGTAGGGAAGGAAAAGCTCCATGTCCTTCCATTGGAAGGAAGGTGACTGAAGGTCAAGTGGCAGGACACTGCAGAGTCTTTTGGGCTCCAAACAGGAAGAAACGCATGAGGAGAGGGGTGTTTGGTCAAGGTCAGCAGCATCTGAACATCTTACAAATATTGTAAACATAAACTGAGAGTTACAGAAAATGTGGAAGAACCAGTTTTGAAATATTCTGAGAGATGGCACTAAAGATAAGCTATAGCTTTTCATAAAAACTCATATCCATAAACATCTGATTTGAAATAAGATTGGATCTTGAGAAACTTCCACTCTCCAGGCAGGAAGAATTACTTGAAAGGCAAGGAAATATGGAAGAGGAGTCCAGGACAGACCAAGGTATCAAAGGCTTGCTACAGGTGAGAAAGACTACTAGGGTCATAATAAGTGTTTAAGATATTTTTACAGACTAAAGATGAGATCTTATGAAAATAGTGTTCAATACATGTTAACCACCTTACTTAGTATGTGCAACCTACTTATGTACAGAATGTATCCCTGAGTATACATTTTGAGTAGGAGTTACACTGGATAAAATTATATTTAATTTGGTCAAATATTTTAAGTGTGTATTGAAAATATAACATAATGGACGAATGGGTTAGTTTGAAGATTCACTTTGAAAACAAAGCAAAGTGCAGCATGTGATTCTATAAATGCACCATGATACTCTTGGCCCGTGCAGTGCAGTAAAAGTTAGAACTGTCTTCGGAATTGACTTCATTTTGCAAAAGTTCAAACTCACAGAATTGGGTGTGCATTGCTGATTGTGGTTTTTGCACCCAGCTTTACTAAGGAAAGGGGGGGCGACAGAAAATGCACTGTATTGTGGTAAGTGCATGAAGAAAACAAAGCACTTATAACGTGGGTCGCACAGAGCACATTCAGTTCTGTGCATTCACTCTTTGAGTTCTTATTTTTAGGATCATTTTATTTCATTAAGCATCAAGAGTTGGAATTAACAAGAGAATGCAGAAAGATTTCAGACCCCGGCACCAAAAAAAAAAAAAAAAAAGGCAGGTTCAGAAAGATTTCAGACATGAAAAATTGGAAACAGAAAATTGTTATAGAATTACCTTACATTTACCTACCTTTTGGCAACAACCAAGTAATCAAAGTTTTTACGGCTCTTGTGTGTGAGCTTTCCCTGGATAGGGAGAAGACCATATCCTTCTTTTTGTGCATGTTTATATTTAGTAATAGTGACTTTTGGGGAAAGTTTGTATATGCAAGGCACTGTGATAACATATGCAATGATTTATTCAGTCACAATTACCACTTGCGAGGCAAAGGATTTAGAGATACAGGTGTGATTTGTATAGATCCTACAGCTAGTAACTGGCAGAGCCAACCTTACATTGGAATGTGGCAGAAAGAGATGTTTTCCTGAAAGCTTGTTTGGACATTGTCATGCTTTCCTATAGGCAGAGGGGAAAATCGTGCCTGAACATAGCTGTAGCTTCAGTATATACCTGGCCTGGGGCCACTGTCTTGCTTGATCTTACCCATGCCTCAAGTTCCAGGGGTGAAATAGCGGTTAGAATAACTCTTAGGGGTCCCGAATGCATTCTGGACTAAGACTAAAGAAAGCTCTTTTAAATCGCCTACCGATTTACCAAATCGGGCTGCTGAGATCCTTTGTGCTAAAAATAAATAGGAAAGTCATGACTGGGGCCAAATTTCCAAGCCATGAATCTGTTGCAGTTGCATGTGGGTGCAGGGCCCAGGACATGATTTCTTTATAAGCCAGTTCTGCTCTGCTATTGCGAATTTCATTTCAAATTGCTCCAAAAGTTTGAGGATTAAAATTTGTGCTGGGAAACTGAGAAAGGAGTCCAGAAGCACGCAGCAGAGCACTAGAAACAGCCAACTCTCTAGGCTTGGCCCACCAGCTCCCGGGATGTGCTCGGATGACGACAGTGTGGCCTGTCGGGTGAGGGCCTGTTTGAGGGCCTCATCGGCTCGGTGCTGGTCTGCGTGGTGCCTACGTAGTCACAGATGCTTCCCGCTCCTTCAAGCAGTAGCCTTAGTAGAGGAGTCATTGTCACCTGTTCCAATAGCGTCAGAACCTACCAGGCAGGCAACCCATGCTTTACCGCAACTGGGCACCTGCTTCCCAGAGGAGGGCCGGGCACCACACAGACCCCGGCCTGCTCGAATGACTTTATGGCTTCGTCGTTTCCATTGAGAAGAATATTTCTGTGAGTCCGTGTTTGCAGTGCACAATGATTGCAGTCCTTGTGGGAGTTGGCCCATGCACATAACGATCTCCAGTCTCTTCATCTTTTCCTCCCCTCCCTGCCCGGCTCCCTCCTGAGGCTGAGGTGAGAAGAGAACAGAGGCTACAGGAGATGCAGCTGTGCTCTCACATCCTCCCTTCAGAACCGGAGAATCCACTCTGATAGCAGCCGGAGTGCTGCTGGACGACAGCCTCTGGCCATCGGCCCCTCTGCAAACTGCTTTTGGCAGCTCGGAGCTGCTTGTCTCACGGTAGGCTCAGAGCACCTCCAGGCCCTGGGTGCCGACCCTCTGCCCAGCCCGCTCCTCCTGCAGTGCGATCCCAGAGTCCCCCAGGGCTGACTCTTGGGTCAGCCTGCCAGGGAGCTCAGCCTAGAGCAAGCTCAGTCACAGGGCTCATGCGCCTCGTTTTATGCGCAGATGGTCTGGACCTCTATGGTTCCATTCACAGTTTCTCAACTATACAGTGGTGTGGAAGGCAGTCTTCAGGAGACTCCTTGTCTCGAATGCTGACTTTTGGTCTTTCTGGGCTGGATGCCGGGCAGCAGCAGCAGACGGGCAGCAGGCACCTCAAAGGGTGTCAGGCCGTTGCCTAGGGGCCCTGTAGGGCAGCACACAAGTGTGTTTATCAAGGTGCTGCCATGCTGTCGTCGAGAAGGAGAAGTGTCTGTACACTGGATATTAGTGCAGGAGTTCTCTTAAGGCAAATGAAACTGAAAATTGTTGAAAGCCTCTGGCTTCATGTTAAACAAATACTTCACTTAATATGAAAAATTATCACTGTAGTTTGTGCAAGACCAATTTAAGCCATCTTTCGAACCAATGTCCAGGGCTGTGTTTTCCATTTGTAATTGTTCATCAGCCTTTGCTGATATGTGGTATCTAAACATACAATCTTGTGCCTTTAAAATCAGAAAATATGTGGGCCGGGGTGCAGCTCAGTGGCACTGCCCCTGTCCTGAAAGTGCAAGGTCCTGTGTTCAATCCCCAGTACCGCACTAAACAAAAACCAAAAAACAAAACCAGAAAATACGTTAAACAATAAAAACATGGCTATTTTAATACTGCACACCTAAAAGCAGGAAAACATACTAAGCACAAGCATGGCAGATCACAGAAGGCCACTGCGTGATGGGAAGACCTCAGACTCAGGCCTTTACATCCCTCCTCTCCCAGAAAAAACTTACTGCACAGCTTTGTTATAAAACAACTGTGGGATTAACAAGCACATGATATGTAGACTTTTCTTCCATTGGGAATCTTCCACCAAAATGTACTAAACAAAAATATATCAAACAAAAATGGATCAAAGAAAATATCCACAGCCTGCTGATAAAAGTTACCATATTTTATGGTGCTTTGGAAAACTGGCAAAGAAATTTCTAACTGAGGTGATGAAAGGTTAAATGATAGGACTTTACTGTTGAAATTGAGTGTCTGAATGAACACTGCGGGACCCTCTCGAGCTTCTTCTGAGGTCAGGCAGCAGCTCCAACCTAGGTAACAATCGAGATAACAGAAGATGTGCAGCTTGCAGGCAGATGCTGGCCTCCCCACTTCGCTTTGGCTCACAGGCCAGACACATTGGGCCTGGCTTCCTACTCCCACATGGAGTGGAGAAAGACAGACAGACAGACATTGTGCGACCTCAGGCCTCAGTGCTGTTGCTCTGGCAATTTCCAAACTTGACATGGCAGCCCTGAACTGGCTAGCAGGACATACTGCCAGAGTCAGAGGCACTCAGAGGTGGAAAAGACATCATTTATTAGAAAGAGTAGCAAAGTACTTTATATACATGGTACTTAGTATGTGCAATCTGGGTTATTGGGAAGTGAATTTATTCTGCAGCCTAAAATATCAAGCTTAGACGTGTAAGAATTCCGTGGCAGAGATTTTTAAAAAATTAAAATTTAGTAGAGAAAGATCTATTGAAAAATACTGCAAAAAATGAAATTTTAGTAGCATCAGTGACCATATATAAAGTATCCTTTTTGGAGCAATAGTGAGTCAACCAAGCAGGACACAGACACATTTTCTCCTACAATTGCAAGTGTGTAGTAGTAATATGGCATATGGATGCAAGCAGCAAATCCTTCCATTAAAAGTGAACGAACCTTACAAATGGTAATGTATACTTCAAACCACTCTCTTTATGCACAATACTTTTGGAATCCAAGGGCTCTAAAGTACAACCAAGTCTAGATCTTCTTGGTTGATGGACCACAGAGAGACCATGAGTAAAGGAAGTTGATTCACTCACCTGAAAACTGTTTTGAGCATCCCTTATGTGCCAGTGTTGTGTCAGGCACTAGGATCGCAATTCTGGACCGGACAGACATGTCCCCTGGTCTTGTGAAGTCCACCGTCTAATACAGGAGCTGACAAATGAGTTACTACAGTACAGTGTGAGACACACTGATAGGGAAAGCACAGGACTCCACACAATGGACAACCAAGCACATAATGAGGTCCAAAGCTGGATTTAAAGGAGTCAGAAGTTTTCCTGGAGGACATGATCTCTAAGTTGGTGTTGGCCAGTCTGGTGGGGAAGACTTAAAGAAAGTACAACATATACAACATTCTGAAAGGAGGAAAGCATGTTTCTTTCAAAAAACTAAAACATTTCTTTGCAATATAAAAGTACTCAGTATGAAAGAACCAGTTCTTTTTTTTTTTTTGGTACCGGGGATTGAACTCAGAACCTTGCACTTGTGAGGCAGGCGGCAGAACCACTGAGCTAAAACCCTGGTCCAACCAGTTCTTGAAGAGCCTTGTAAAAATGTTATGGAGCAAGTGCTTTATCATAATGGCAGCAAAAGCCACTTAGAAGAGGTCATGGTCAGGGTCATGTTTTAGAAATGTTACTGTAGTTACATAGTGGGAATGAAGGCAAGGACATCCAGGGTTCTGAGGTAACATCCCAGGTGAGCTGATGCTGGGGATGAGGAGAGGCAGAAACAAAATGGACAGGACTTGGTGCTATACAATTGGGCATTTGTGGGCAGTGTAGGAGAGACAGGAGTTAAATATGCAACCTTCCATTCCTACTTGAGCAATTCAGAGACTGCGTCCCGAGTTGAGAAGGGCAACACAGAAAGAAAAGAGTTGGCAGGAGGGTGCTGAGCTCTTCTCTTGGAGATGTTGAACTTGAGGCACTACAGGGTAATCAAGCGCGAACACTGGCCCAGCCACTGAAGAGAGAGGTCTTTGATTGTACGGTGCTTTGAGCCAGAGAGGCAGACAGGGGAGCTGCCTCTTCCCCGGAGAGGGAAGAGTCACTGAAGTCAAGAGACGGGCAACACCGTGCTGAAAGGGCAGGCTGTGCACTGGATCCCAAGCAGCCAGCTGTTAAGTGTTGGACAGAGAAATATGGGGTTAAGAAGACCCTAGGTCCACCACTAACCCTGAAGATGAATTTCTGCACTAGCTTACATTCTTAGCAAGTTAGCACTAAAGGTCCTAACACATATGAAAGTCTTACTTGATTCGTTTTCTTCCTTCACCTTGTGAAGCCATACATTGGTACCAAAAACATTTTAACTAACCTGAAATCAATAAACATTTGTAAAATAATTTAAAATGTAATCTACAAGCATCCCTTGACTGCTTAATGCCTGGCTTTGCCCATTCAAGCTTCTTACATACAGCAGAGCTCACTCACGCTATGCTCTGTGGTCTGGTTCTTTCCTGTCAGTTCCTCCTTGCTTGGACCCCAGACACTCTTTTATGCACCATGACTCAGTGACAGCCTGAGAAGTTTTCTGTGCCTAACCGTGGTTCGACGTTTCAGGAGTCGTGGCCCATTAACCCCCAGGTGGGGAAGGACCCAGAGAGCGAGGGGTGGTCTGTGGGGTTTACCTTACGTGCTTTCCTTTCCTGCGGTGTCTCTTCCTTTTCTTCCCTATGCACAGGAGCAGAGGCGGACAGTGGCTCCCACCTCACTCCGTCACACCAGTGGTGTGATGTGTCTTTAACAAGCATCTCTCCAGGAAAAAACAGCCCGACTTGTAGGGTTTGCCAGTTTTTTGTGGCGTAACTACTCCCACCACAGCCAATTTAAGCTACCAACTTCATGCCACTGAAGGAAGGAAACGTGTACACAGTTGGCCGAGGACAGGCTGCCAGTGCCCGGGGGGACTGAGCTCGAGCTGAGTGACCGCCAGTGTGGGAAACACCTCAGATGCAGCAGCCAGCCCGAGAGGACACTGGGTTTGTCCGGTAGCAAAAGTTGGTTTTCTCGTGCACGGTCAGTTTATTTGCAGATCTGGACCTCTTCCAGATCCGGAACTGAGAGAACACTAGGGGGATGTATACATTAATAATCTAATAACCCGAGCATTCTAACTTTTATTTCTTGTTCATAAGCAGTTTAAGTTTCTCTGATTGGCTTAAATTTGAGACTGAAATAACTGAGAATAATTTTCAGTCTAATTTCTTATACCATGAACCAAATAAATTAAGTTTCATTTCAAGACAAAAGTACAATCTACAGTCTAATCTATTTCATTAAAGAAAATATTTTATCTTCCTCAAGTAAACATAATTTTCTCCTATATCACACCAAAAGATTTGATGGCATACTGCACGAACCAGCAACACATGTAGAAAGGAGAGCAGCAACACATTCCTCATTTCTCTGTACAATTTATAATACCCTATTAACACCAATGTGCAGATGTACAGTCCTGACAGCACACTAAATAATAATATTGGGACTCACTTGTAAAATATTTTCAACAATAGGCACTGCTGGAACCAGAGCTATTATTATGTATACTGTATCTTTTTTTTTGCATTCCCAAGGGAAATTAAAATTCCAGGTAGCATTAGAAAAGAATACACTTATTAATATTTTATGCAGATATCCAAAAATCTCACTTCTATTGAAAACCTTGCAATTCTACTGTATACAAATGGAAACACATTTCCAAACAACTTGCACTTACACTGAGCTCATAAAGGTTGTTTTAAAAATATTGCAAACCAAATAAAAACACAACACTATTGTACAAAGTCTTTTGTTTTTAGAAGTCAAATTTAATTTAATTTAATTTATTTATTTATTTGATACCAGAGATCCAACTCAGGACCTTGTGCTTGTGAGGCAGGCACCAGAACCAGTGAGCTAAGTCTCCGGTCCTAGAAGTCAAATTTTAAAAGGCCTATATTCATACAAATGTAAAATGCTTTCTGCTGCCCCTGACTGGTATTTTTGTTTAGGGTTATCTGATTTTAGAAATCCAAGTGAAATGTTTTCTTTTTTATCATTTTCTTCTTCAGAATGAAAGACACTAAGAACCCACAGAAGACATTTTCAAAACTGGTCTGGATAGAAACCTCACATAACAGAATAGCAAACACTCTACACGCTTAGTTACTGCAACACCAAAGATCAAAATGCCCACCGCCTACTTACCTTACATTTCTAGATAATTATCTTGACTACCACTCCATTATTCTCCAAAGTGTAAAGATTCTAGGTTCTCTAGCAAAACCAAAAATACCACTAAAGCCAAATTTCATTTTCAAAATGTATTTAAAGAAATGCTTATTTTAATATAAAATCTCACACTGCTAAGTTAATACACATTTATAACATGGCTAGCCAACTGCTTGGTGATTCGGCTTTAGCTTTGGAAGAATATTGCAATTGGCTGTTAAGTTTCAAATTTAGGGATCTGATTTTATGGTATAGTACTGTCCTTTCCAATACAGATATCAAAGAAAAATGATCTGAAGTTTTTCTTAGAATAACTGTAAATTACAGATCAATTTTTTTGGGGGGAGAGAGAAAAATCCATGTTAAGATAGTAAACATATTGTTTTAAATCTTAGAACAACTGTTATAAAAAAACTATAAAATTATAAAATTTTGAAAAAAAATACACTGAAAATGTCTCTCTAGGAAAAATGTGCAACTTGTTGGATACAACACACCATGTATTACCTACCATAGGGTGCAGCCAAAGATGGACTTGGCTTTTGAGACTTAAAAAACTCACAAAAAGTAATTAGCACCAAAATCGTATAAAACATCAAATAATAAACTGAAGAAACTCCAGGCCCAGGTATTACACTATTAACAAAAAGTAACCTGAGAACTTTGTCCAGCAGTAATAAGCATAGTCTTTTCAATCTGTAGCAAATGTGCTAGCTTTGTTCATCTTTGCCACTAAGTAAGGCAGTGTATGAAAACTCTCGTTTGTCTTGGTTTGGGCTGAGCAGGGACAATCCCAATACAAACATTCCTGAAATAATGCAGGATCACTTGATGAAGTTGGGAGTTGTGCAGCTTTCCAATTAAAACTTTTGAGCTCATTTCCTCCTTTTTCTTCTAAAATGTTTGCTTGGAACACTTTATAAAAACTGTATTGCCTGATTTGAACTTCATAGATTATTTTCCCTGCTCACTGTCTGGCAGTGCTAATGAAGAAGTGGTATGTAACAGAGGTGTGTGGGGCGGGCACGGATCACAGGAGGGAAACAAGAATTTTGAATAAGCTAGTGTATATTCAAAATATATATCCAAATTTGTCATAACTAAGAGTTAGTTTAGTTTTAAACAACAATCACTTAGAAATTTAATTACAAAACAGCTGCACACAATCTGAAACAAGTGAAACTTTCCTGTCCTTCAAACAGCCACAATGCAAAGCTGCATGCATCACACACATGGTTGGTTAATGAACGCCCAACAACTCAGGTGGCCACGTCTTACTGCTGCACATAAATAATCACAAGGCACAGAACAGCAACCAGCCCCAGGGCTTGCAGGCCGAGGAACCACAGCATGAGCCAGAAGAAAATGACTATGACTGGTTCCACAATCCGCTCTCCGAAGTACATCCTTGTGAAGCCCATGCCGAGGAGGCTTTTGTTCAGTTCACCAAAGAGCGTTCCCATCTTCTTGTAATCATCTGCCACAGGCTCGGCAGGGTTGTTTCGTGAGTCTTCAATAGCCTTGAAAAAGAAAATAGAAAAGAACATAAAATGAGTACGTAAAGGCCTTCAAAGGTACCAGGTCTCACATGGCTCTTCCTGTCTTCCAAACGTTTGGGCATACTTCTGCCCAGCACTTGACAGGCGCCTGTTGATGCCAAGGGAGAGCGCTTCTGACTGATACCCAGAGCACTGCTCCTGCACCGCCTCCTGAGAGTGGAACGGGAACCACTGATGCGTCGGTTTCTGCGGAATCAACACCCACTGACCCCTCAACTACCAGACACTGATTTACAAATGAAGAAAACAGCTAACTCTTTCTGATTCTAGTACCCTGGAATTGCACAAAGATGGATGCCTAAATGAAGGCTCACGTTGGTGCTTCTCTTGCCAGGGACCATGTGTTCAGAACCACCTTTCCTGCTGCTCCGGTTTCATGAAGCTGGGCCCCTGCCTGCCATCCAGTTACCTTGTGGCCCATTCCTCTGGCACTAGGACTTGAATAAATAGCACCTTGGCTTGCTGAAGAGTGTCTTGTTACTAGGCACGATCCTCAGTCATTACTGCTGTGATCTTTCAGTGTCAGTCTCAGGGAAGTAGACTTCGGGTGGGCCCTGTCCAGCTTCCTGTCCAGATGCTGTCCAAGTCCCAAATGCTTATTAGTCTAATCAGAACAAATAGTTATTTTTTAATTTATTTTTTTGTCATTGGTTTTTGAGACAGCATCTCACCATGTAGTTCAGACTAGCCTTGAACTCACTATAGAGCCTAGGCTGGCCTTGAACTCAAGGTGATTTCCTGCCTCCTCCTCCTCCTGAGCACTGGGACTACAGGCGTGAACCACTAGGCCCAGCCAAACAGTTTCTAAAAGAATGTGTACAGGGCCAGGGATTTAGCTCAGTGGCACTGTGCCTGCCTTGCTAGTGCAAGGTCCTGAGTTCAATTCTTGGTACCAAAAACAAAACCAAAACCAAAAACCAAAAGAATTTGTACAATAAGGGCAAAAGTCTTATCTAAAAGTCAGTGCCATACAAAATGTCCATGTATACCCAGTTATACATATCAGATGCTTACTGCTTCTGCTCTTAATCATGTAAAGCCATTATGCCAATTATTAAGTCACTGTCTCTTAGCTTCAAGCCCAGCTCTAGTTTGGACTCCGAGTCCCCCCTTCACAGGTGCACCTGCTGGGCACTAGGTTCTCAGTGTGGGGGTGAGAGCTGTAAGTCACCCCGGGTAACCCTCAAAGGGACTAAGGCGTTTCCTGCGTACTCACTGGTACGGAGGCCTGCGCCCTTCCACCCGGCTTCCCCACATCATCTCTTCCTCCAGCACAAGCTCCTGCTATGCCATCCACCCTGAGGTCAGGCAGCCCAAGGGGAGCCCTCACCAAGCCTCCTGGACTTCATCATCCCAAACTGTGGGCTCAAAGAACCTCTTCTCTTTACAAAGTGAGCCTGTCTCAGGTCTTTTATTATGGTAGTGAAAAACATCTCCACATTTGGGATTTTTGCAAATATTTCTGGCTCCCGGGCAGGCTCTGCCAACAGAGGGAGCAGAGATGCTGCCCAGGTGGAGAAGGAAGTAGGGATTTTGCTCTCTTTTTGGCTTTGGGTGGGTTTCCCGACCCCTGACCAACAGTCCTTTGCTCTGGTAGCAGCAGTTCCTTCCCGCAGGGACAGCTGATGGCTCCGGGAGGTTCTCGGCGTCCACAGACCCCTTCTCAATGTGCTGCCTTAGAGTCTAGCTGCAGCCCTGGGCTCCTCCTCCTGTGATATCTGGTTCCCTACTCCTGGCGTGCCTCCCCTGAACTCAGAGCCTGGCATCTGCTGAACACAGAGGAGCTGTTCTCAGAAGTTTCCACACTGAGTTTCTGCACGCTGAGGCCTTTCCTCGGTCTCCTCAGTTTCAGTAAGCTTTGTCTTTTGCTTTGCTGCCCTAGTCCTAGGAGTGGGGGCCACTTCTGGTGGTTGCTATCTTTGTGGTCTTTAAACTTCAGCCTACATTAGGCTCCCTTTGAGGGCCTGTTAAAGCAGACTGCTGGCCTAAGACTGGGGTGAGGTGCCGAGTTCTCCAATTTCCCTTTATCTCAACTTTCAGGAGATGCTGTGACGCTGGGCTGGTGACCACCTTTGCAAACCAATATCTTAGTGCTTTCTGCACAGCCCCTCCTTCAGTACTCAGCTGATGACTGCTTACAGCAGCTGGTGGGATTGAGATGGAGGTAGATCACCAGGAGCTTGCTGCTTCTTTCTCCTCTTCTGAAGTTACACATAGAAGTAGAGAAAATGAACCTATTGACTAGATTTAATTCTTACTAAAATTTTGCCACCACACTACTGTACTTAAACGGAGCTAATAAAGTAGAAAAATCACTACAAGAATGCCTTCAAGTAATGCATCTTCACAAAGGAAATTCTGTAGAAGTATCAAAAATACCTAGTAATGAACTGAACAGAGGGTTCAAACAATTCAGATGACATTGGAAAATGAGTTAAAGAAAATGGGTAGTATTCTTAAATCAGTGAGTTTTCATCAATCTCATTACTGTATTTTCTGCATCTAAACTATCTTCTTAAATACTATAGTTCTGAAGGGTACAAAGAGTGGTGGGAAGGCCCTGATTTGTAGCATTTGCCAATTCTCTAGTGCTTTCCAATTTCTGAATTAGTATTCCCACTGTGGCCAATTTCAAGTTACTAACAGGCAGCTTGCAAGGTTCCTGTAAAGTTAGAAACTGGATCTGAGGTCTGCCAGCAGCAGCACTAGCACTCCGCTGGAGCCTGGGAGCTGGGTAAGTTGAGATAAAGACCTATATGAGTACAATCAGTGGGTTTCATCCTCCTTCCTTTCATCAATTGGTGTACATTTATGTGTGTTTTTTTAAGGTTACCAGAATGACAAGTTGGGATGATTTAGTAGAAGAAACATTACAAGCAAACTGAAACTGGGAAAATTGCATTCAACTATGTCTTGAGCAGTGGATGTGGTTAGAAAGACCGACTGCACACAGTAGCACAGAACGTCCACAAGAAGGAACAGTGTTTGCTTTTTGGATCTATCTCATGCAGAAAAGCACACAACTCAGTAGTTTTAGACCTGTTTACAGTAGCATCTACACTGCCTGGGTGATGTGAGAAAGAGGTGGTTTTTCAGTGCTCCTTAGCTCAGTGGGTCATGGCACCATCCATGGCCAGATGAGAAGGGTGGAAATCTGAGGCATTCTCGATTCCTTTTCTCTTCCATTTTCCCGCGTCCTGCTCATCACCGTATCTATTTTACTTCTAATTTCCTTAAGGTTCTGGCCTGTTCTATCTATCACTATAACCCTATTACAAAGTCCTGACACCCTTGCCTTGACTGTTCGGTCTGCTTGCTCCAACACACATCCACGAGCTCCCCGAACCCCAGTGTCACGTGGCAGCCGCCCACCCGCGCCACCTCCACCACCTTCCGCACTGAGGCTAAAATCCTGAACATGCTCTACGAGGCCCTGCTTCATTTGATTCCCATCAGTTTCTGGCCTTATTCTGCCATCAGCCTTCCTTGGTCTTTCTGCTTCAGTCCGCGGGTCCTCTCAGCTTCCTGAATAGGCCACGAGCATGTGCGCGCGCTGCTTTCTCTGCCAAAACACTCTTCAGTCTCCTTTGCTTAGTCGGGGCGTGTTCTTTCAGCCTCAGCTTACACCTTTGCTCTGGCTCAAAGCGTCATATAAAGCTTTTCCAATGCAGTATAATTTAATGCAAATGTGTGATTACTGCTGACAGTACTGTAAGCCCCGTGAGGTAGGGGTAATATCTATTTTTGCTATTGTTTTGCTCTACAAAGGTACTAGCTACAAATATATTGGCTTAAAACAATACAAACGGATTATTTTATGGTTCTGTACTTTAGAAGTTATGTCAGCAGGACGGTTTCTTTCTGGAGGCTCCAGGAAAGAGACTGTTCTCACCTTCCCCAGTTCCTGTGGCTGCCTATGTTCCTTGGCTCCTAGACCCCTTCCACCGTCTTCAAAGCCAGCATGGTGGCACCTGACTGTTCTTAAGCAGGTAACGTTTCCCTCTGGCCACAGGAGAGAAAGGTTTCAGCTTTGAGGGACGTATGTGATTAGCTTTGACCCACCTAGGTAATCTAGGGTGCTTTCCCTCTCTCAGGTCCTTAAACTTAATCACATCAGCAAATTGCTTTTGCCATTTAAGGCATCACATTCACAGGTTCTGAGGATCAGGATGTGGATGACTTTCGCGAGATTATTCTGCCTACCACAGTGTTTTATTACAGAATAATTTATTTATATATCTACTTCCCATCACTAGCTTCGAACCCATTAAGGCCACTAAATACAACAGACATGTCTTAGAGATTATAACATTAGTACTTATTATATGGTACTATGCCTGGCCCATGCAAGCATATAATAAATATATGTTGAATGAACAATAGAAATATTCTATAATAGGCCAAAAACCCCAAGATAAAAACAAAACCTAAACATAATATCAGTATTTGTTTTGAGCACGGATGTAAATTTTTCAAGTATTTGTAAATCCCAGCTTAACTGATAGGCTGTGAGATGCGCTTGCTCAGCTGGATGCTCACACCCTGTATCTTAGGCAGACACTGATTGGAGCAGATGCGCCTCGGGCGCCTGACTCTCAGATGTTTGCCACCTCAGGGAGCAGCAGTGGCGGAAACACCACCGATGGTCTGGCACGCTTTGAAGGCTGAGTGCCCACTGTCCAGGACGGCCGACCACAGGTGCTGCCTCTTTGATCTTCCCCCAGCCTGTGAGGGAGGCACTATTACTTCTTCCATCTGCAGACGAAAGGCGTAATTTCCAAGGAGTTAGAGGTGGAAGACGATTTCCACTGAGCAGCTGAAGGGTCTGTGATGGAACTGGACATTCTTTTTCCAGGGACCACACCATTAACCCTCAGCTGTGATCCTTCCAGTTTCATTATAGTACCAATGGCTAATATGTGTCTTACGCTGCTTAGTTTTCAGAGGAATTTCAAACAAAA